TCAGTTTAAGTCGGATTAATCGGATTGGATCGGATATGAACACCCCTAGGTTTGGTTGAAGATGAGGGTAAAAAAGTAATTTTAGATTTATAATTTGTTTGGGCTTAATTCAATAATTAGTCTATTAACTATCAATTTAATTTCATTTTAGTTTAGAAAGTTTGTTTTCTTTCTAAATGGTCTATAAACTTTGAAGAATATTTCAAATTAGTCTATCATACAAAGTTTCTGTTAAATCTAATGGAAAATAGCACTCCTTTAAGTTTTAAAAAAGTGACACTATAATCTCAATAAAATATAATGACTCAAGAGATATTTTATAGAGATAAATTAGTTAGAATTTATAATAAATTTGAGCAAATAGCTCAATTCAAACAAAGAAACTTAATAAGTTTAGAATGAGAAGTTTCAAAAGTAAGTCTGTTTTACAGGACATACTGTATATAGTTCGAACCTATAAAATTATTTAAATGTCCTTGAAAAAATAATATAAAAACAAAATTAAGGATATTTAAATAATTTTACAGAGTAAACTATATGCAGCAATGTGCGTTTGGTGGTTTTTTATTGTTGGATTTTGGGTGCTGGAAGCTTGTCTAAGCTGCAGATGCAATTGTATGCTGTTTTTATGCTTCTTTGTTTCGGTTCTGCTATGTTTACATGATGGCTCTATTTGATGTTTTAATATTTTGTGATATAGTGCATCTTTGATTAGTGTAAATGGGCAAGAGTACCCCTTGTGCTCTATATAATAAGATTTGTTTTTTGCTTATCAAAAAAAAAAAAAAAACTATATGCAGTCTGCCCTGTAAAACAGTTTTCTAAAAAATACATTTAACAAGATAAGAATAAAAACTATTTTTCAGGTGAATATAAATTTAAGGATTAAAAAATCAAAAAAATATAGTTAGAGTACTAAATGTTTTCTGACAGGATAAGAAGATTTCCGTTATCTTTAACAGAATTAGATGAACTTGAAATAAATGTAAAAAATAATAGACATGATTGAAAGAATTCAAAGATAATAAATGAAATTGAAAAGAATATAAAAGTTAATAGATGATTTATTAAATTAAGCCATTAGTTTGAGATGTTTTAACTTTTCATTGGGAAGTACATGTCAAGTCATTTTGCCATGTTGTCAATCCTACGTGTATAAATATTTTTGCATGTCATTCTTTTTCCGTTAGGTAAGGGTACACATCAACAAATTTTTAACAGGAGGACCAAGTGGGAGCCAAAATATCAAATTTTAGGGACTAAATTAGGAACTTTTTAAGTTGAGGGACTCACTTAGGGTCCATATGAAAGTTGAGGAACCAAAAATGAAAGTTTAACTTTTACAATAAATTGCATCAAATTGTAAAACTATAATCATAAGATAAAGAAGTCCTCACCTATTATCAAGAATCTCTTATTATTTAATTTTTTATATTTTATAATTTAATATAATCTAAACCGTAAAATAATTTTTTTAAAAAATAAAAAAATAACCTAAAGTCAATTTCCATGTCCTCTTAAAAAATTCTCATATGTATTCCTTCCAGATCTCATGTCATTTTGTGGACGACATGGCAAATAACTCCGTTGCAGAAAAAGAAACTGTCCCTTTAAAAATTAGTATTGCAGAGATACAAAGTACATAATAAATAATACTAA